TCACGTAAAAAGCATTTCTGTATTTCCAAAGTTCAAGGTGAGGGAGACTAAGGGAGAAAACAATGCTTGGTTATAATTATTTTTAAATGTGATAGGATCCTTTAAAACTCAAACATGTTCTTAAGATACTATTTTATTGTTTTGAAGGTCTCAAAACATTTTGGAGAGAGGTCAAAAGAAGTGTTTCTGTAGGAATTAGTGAGCTTTGATGGTATTTGTATACAGAGTTTAGGTATCAGTGAGCTTTCAGAGAAGATGCCAGGTTCTCAGAAAAATACCAGGGCTAAGTCAGTTGCTGAGGACCAAGGCACCTAGTAAGGGTAGAGAGGGGGCTGGCTCACTGGCTTAGACTTGGAAGCCCTTATGAGTGGAAGAGCAGCAGAGACAGAAAACAATGGAGAGATGCTGGAGGCAAAGCTAGTAAGATTGAAAGGAAGAATGGTACCAAGCTGAAGAAGAGAAATGACCAACGCTGGAATGTAGTGTAGTATAAAAGCATATCGGGGAGCACAATGGATGATCAATGAGATTGGTCAGATTTGGGACTATCCATCCATACTCTTCACTTTGACTCCCTTAGGACCAGTGGTGTGAATTTTCAAATTTCTGATAAGTGTCTTCAATGAACATGAGTTGCAAGGTCATTTTTTTTCTCTTTCTCTCTCTCTTTTTTGCTATTCCTGTCCTTTCTACATGCAAAGTCATCTAAGATGTTGACTTCACTTATACATAGGAGCAAATGACTAATTAGGAAGCAACTACAAATTACTACAAGAACAGAATAATTTGGGTTGATTGGGTTAAGCAATGAAAAAATATTGCATCACATGGAACACACCAAAATGCATGGCATCCTTCATTTTTTCTGCAGATTGCGTCCCCACCTGGGAACGACAGTTTAACCAACTGCATGATGCCTTAAACACAGAGGCTCGTTAACAATTACCTGCTTCATTATCTGGATTATCCATACGTTCAGTAAACATCGGCTGAGCACTAACTGTGGCCAAGCACTCTTCCAGGCACTGGTAACAGAGCAGAGAACAAAACAGTCTCCAGCAGAGCCAGCATTCTGGTCAAAGATGTTAGATGACAAAACAAGCAAGCAAAATACACACCATATGTACATATATAATGTTGATTAGAAAAGTGAGATGGAAAAGAGTAAAACTGGACCAGGGTTAGAGTTACAATAGGAGTAGAGGATGATTCTATTTCAGATAGAAAGGCTTAAGAAAGGTCTTTATGATGAAGTGCAGAGATCTGGCTGAAGTGAGGGATGAGCAATACTGCCTGGGAGAGTGAAGACGGGGCACAGCCAGGAGGCCAGGTAGCAAAAATGAGTAACAGGGAGAGTGGAGTGGGTGGGGAGGGGATGGAGACATCTTGTGTGGAGTGGTGGGGAGCGTGTGGAGACATTTTCAGAGAGATAACCAGGGGCTAGACTGAGTACTTGCAAGGCACGCTAAGATTTTCAATATTACACAAACTGTGGTGAGAAGCCATGACACGACTGGACTCCCACTTGAGTGGGTTCATCCTGGCCAACATATCAGGTGAGGCCAAGTATCAGAGGCACAGGGGATAATTAGAAGGCTGTTCGATAGTTCTGGTGCACTGGGATGGTAGTTTGAACCGGAATGGTGGGGATGGAGCTGAAAAGTAGTGAAATTTGGCATATAGTGTGAAAGTGTATTTGGAAGAATTTTTTCATATGCTGAATGTATCATGTGAAAATAAAAGTCAAGGATGACACCAATAATTTTGGCTTGAACAACCGGATGAATGAACAACTGATTTATTGCCACCATGAAGATTGGGAATAGGTTCGGTGGCATTGTTTTCTTTTGGACCTGATCAGTTTGCAGTGGTTGTGAAGGGTGCAATTTGACACATGACCCTGAAGTTAAACGGAGAGGTTAGAATAGGAGATAAATTATGGACTTGTCTGCACATGGCATCATGTTGGCATGGTGCTGTCACTGCTTCAGTGCTGGTGCACGGCAAAGCTAGGCTCTGTGTTGAGTACTTACTGGTAATGCACAGACTGCACTTCACTATCCTCTTTAAAAAGAATCCTCCCCCCTGCACATGCAGCATAACCTTGCTGTTCTAAAACATACCTAGAGTTTTAATTTCTTTTCTTTCAGATATTTGAAGGCAACTGAGAATTCTGTGTATTGTGCTCAGTGGCCATAGAGACAAATTAGTGTATCCCAAAGATGGATATATATGGGTTTTCAGCTGAGCAGGGAGTTCACACCACTAATGAATGAACTATTTTTTGGAACATCTCTAAGAGCTAAACTAAGAAGAAATAAAAAGCTACTCTAAAGAGCTTCCCAGGCTAAATTCTGTTGTTTGGAGGGCATATTGAGGTCACACCTAGTCTAGCTTCAAGATAATTCTGGAAGCACTCTGGTGTGGCCTGTATTGTATCCTACCTGACATCCCTGAGGTGATACCTCAGGATATCACCTGAGATTCCAGGAGATACCTTCAGGATGTGGTCCTTAGTGAAGTCCAGGGAAAATATCCTACAAATATCCACAAACATCACTAAAGAACTTTCTGGAACATAATTGCCTGGACCCCTCCAATCTTTCCCCCATGCTTGGATTCAACTGAAGAAACTCCTGGTATTTCAAGGGTTTGCATCATCATAATGAAACATCCATTTCAGTGAATAGTCCATTTTACTCTGTGTGTGTGTGTGAAAAGACATGAAAATGGAGACTCTTTAAGCAGTTGTTGCATTATTTTTATCTTTCTACTCATTTATATAGGTTGAGGCAGGTTTGATGCACCCTTCAGTATTTCCTCAAATCTGACAAACTTATGTTTTCCTCATTCATTTTTTAGCTGGCAGACACACATTGGCTACTGATGGCTGTCAGCAGCTGCTGGTGCCCCGCCCGTCTGTATCTGATGTCTGTGTCTCCATCTCTCTTGAACTTGGGTGCCAGCAGCTGAGAGTGACTCATCCCCTCTGTGTTTCCCATTATTCTATATTTTTATGACAGACGTTTTAGTCAAAGTTACAAAGAAGGTGTTTTAACTTAATCCATTGAAAACTCATCTGGTTAACCGAAGATCGTGAACAAGTTTTCCTTTCTTAGGAAGGAGTCAGCTTTGGAGATCATCGAAGCTGGGAAATAATGTGTTTTTGTGGTTACCTACTGTATCAAGGAAACTTAAATTTCTCTCATTGGAGTATATTTTTTAAGAAACAATTAACTGAAAGGGTACTTCTAGCCCTGTGGCCTTTTTCCTCTTTTATCCATGCTACTTTGCTGTCTGAATTATTCTACATTGTTTATGCAGAACCCATAGCTTTCATTCTGTCCTTTAAGTAATAATGTATTTTATCACACCTGGTAGAAATTTACTTGTCACAAATTGAATTATTTAGAAGATTTTGTACAAGTTAGGATACCCATTAACTCGAGAACTTGTGATGAAGGATTATGATTATCTTAAGACTGTGGCAATATGCAAACTTGTGCAATGTCATTTTGGCAAGTGAAGACTGAAAATGAAAGCTTATCTACAACCACATTTCTTCAATGTGATAAGTTCCTAGGGAGTTTGGGGATTATTTTTAAAATGTGCTTGCTGCCTGCCACTCTGCTACCAAAAATAGCGAGTCTGAGGGGACTAAGTGTTAAAGGACATTCCTGGAAACTATTTCATTGGAGACCATTTGTGACAAAGCATTCTTGAGTTCTTTTTCAGTACCTTCTTTCTCTGCATTCTAATTTCTGTAAAAGGAGCTCAGTCTTTTTTTTTTTTTTAATCAAATATACTTCTTACTGCCAAAATGTCTAACGGAAAAATTAACTTAAGATGGTAGTTTATCTCGACCATTTCAGAACATCTAATTATTAATGGGATTCAGTGCCACCAAACACACCATGTACTACAATACTATTTTAGGAGGCAGAAGAAAGGATTGAAAAGAAAATTAGTGGTGTTCAAGCTCAGAAGTCTGGAGTCTGGTAGTTTAAAAGTTCTCTGTTAATAATCTAGTGACCTTGAACAGGTAAGTGTGCCTATCTGATCCTGGGTCTTCAGCTATGAAATGCAACCCAAAATGACCGCCCTGAGAGCCAGTCGTTTGTGCCAAAGTGTTACATCAGTGAAAATCACCACTGATTTGGATAGACACATTGCAGTATATGAATCCGATGACTTGTGATTTCACACTACACGAATTTGGAAACTACTGCACATTCATGGTTTCCTGTGCAGTTCCCTATAGATGAGGGAGTTTATTAATATTTTTTGGGGGGGGAACAACCTGCGAGGACTGCAGCCCTGACCTGAAGATGTGTCCCGCAGAGGTTTTGGAAGGTAGAGTCATAAAGAAATTGACTTTGAGATGAGCAAAACCGAAATCTCCAGGTTGCAAACACTTTTCCCGGGTATGGGGTGGGTGTCATTTGCTTCCTTTATACTCAAGTATGAAAGTGACCATAAGCCACAGAATGTGGCACCAGGGTTCGCTATTAGGAACCATTCCAGGAAATGACCCTGGGACCAAGATATTTACAAATAACCCGGGATACTCACTGCAGGCGAGAGGCGGTGAGGAAGACGCAGGGAGGATTCAGGGGCGAGCCAGACAGGGGGAGGACACAGGTTCCAGAGACTTCTGTTTAAGGCTCTCGGGGATCAGTGAGAGCACCCTTGAGGAAGAAGGCTCGGAACGCGGGGAGCGGCAGGTGGGAAGCGGTGGTTGCGGTCCCCAGGTCCCGCGCGCCCTTTGCCCCTGGTCGGCCGCTTCGGGCGCGCCCACGGCACCAGCCTTGCGCGCCCCTACTCCCACGCGGGTCTCTGCTTGGGCCGTCGCGCCCCCACCCGGCCCGCGCCGCCGCATCCCACTTGCCCACCAGTAACGGCTTCTGCACCCGCTGCCTCCGACCCCTCCCCCGTCCCCGCTCACGAGAGCCGCAGTGCCGCGCGCTTTGGAGAGGGGTCCTCCGCCCGGCACCGACGGGAGCGGACCCCAGGCCGCGGCGGTGGAAGCGGCCGAGGGATCCCCCGATGCCAGCCGGTCCTCGCCGTACCCCGTCCCGGGTTCTCTCCCGCTCTTCTGCAACCCCAGCCCCCGGACCGCTCCCCGCACCCGCCGCGCGCCTCCCCCTGCGCACCCGTCCTCCGCCCTCCCCCACTCCCCGCCCTCCGCGGCGCGGCTCTCACGCGCAGCAGAATTCGGCGCCGCCTCCGTCAGAGCCGAGCCGGCGGCTCCGCGGAGCAGCAGCAGCCTCTGCCGCCGCCGCCGGGCCTTCCGTGTCCCCTCCCCGTCCCGCCCCCCAGTCCCCGGCGCCCGGTCCCCCCTCCCCACCCTCCTTCCGTCCTCCATCCCGCCCTCCCGCTCCGCTCTCCCTCTGGCTGCAGCCCGACCCGGCCCGCCAGCCGGGCCGGCAGGAGGGCGGCGGCGGCGGCACGACCATGAGCTTTGAGGGCGACCACGGCGGCAGTCGGTGTCGCGGGGCGGAGAGCGGGGACGCCGAGCCGCCGCCTCCGCCTCCCTCGCCGCCGCCGCCCGAGAGCCGCCCCGTGCCCGCGCCCCGCGGTACCGCCGCCGCTGCCCGTCCCCCGAGGGCGCCGCCGGGCCGAGCGAGCCGCCGGGGAGGTGGCCCCGCGGCGCCGGGCGCGGACGAACTGCCTCCGCCGCCGCCGCTGCCCCTGCTGCCCGCCGGCCAGGAGGCGTGCGCGGCGGCCGGCGACTCCGCGGAAGGTCCGAGGCGCCTCCCGGAGTCGGCGGACCCCGAGGCGGCGGCGGCGGCGAAGGGCGGCCCCGGGGAGCCCGAGGCCAGCGCCAGCGGGGAGGGCGAGCGGCGGGGCGCCGGCGACCAGCCCGAGACGCGCTCGGTGTGCAGCAGCCGCAGCAGCAGCAGCAGCAGCGGCGGCGGCGACCAGCGCTCTGGGCACCAGCACCAGCACCACCAGCCCATCTGCAAGATCTGCTTCCAGGGCGCCGAGCAGGTAAGGCCCGGTGGGACCCTGGGGCAGCGGGCGGTGGGCTCCGACCCGGGCCGGACCGGCTCCCGCTCGCAGTGGAGTGGTCAGGCGTTCAGCACCAAGGACAGAGCACGCCTCCCAGCTTGTCTCCTGTGCGGCTTGTCTGGTCCCGCCTCGTGAGCGATGGCTCCAGCGGGTTCCCCCTTTCCCTTTCTGTGGAGGCAGATAAAAATGTCCCAGTGGCGAATACAGGGTTTAATTTGATCTACACTTTTTTTCCTACCTGGTTTTGCAGTTACACGTTCCTCAGGTGCTTTAATGATAATAACGTAAGTATTTCTTTCGAATTACTGAATGGATTTGGTTTACACATGGAAGCAAACGTATAGGATGCAAAGTGAAGTCTGTTTTCGACAGATGTATCCTGAGACCGTTAGTCTTAGAATACAAACTGGGCGTGAGTCATGTCACAGCCAAAAAAGAGCAGGTTCTTTCCTCATTGCAAATTTTGGTGGCTTAATCTCACTGATGTGAATAGCATGTTACAGTTTGTTCAAGCCAAACAGAAATGTACTTTGAAAGAGAGGCTACTTAGCCAGCGAAGTACTTTATATTTTGTTAGAAAGACAATTATAAAATTATAAACACCATTAGAGGCGCATGAAAACTTAAATGAGAGTAGTCATGCAGAAGAAAGGATAATATATCTCTTACAATATGTGCGGTCTGAGAAAACATTAAGTTTAATATTTTTAAAAGTAAGGAAATTGCATAAGAATATGCAGGCTTTCAGGAATATATCACCCTAGGTCAATATTTATGATGCTACATTTAGAAAAAATAAAAGCATAATGCTATTGCAAGCTGCTTTCTGGGATGCCATGCATTTCTTCTTTAGCAATGATTAAGAATAACTGCAGAGGAAATGCATCTGACCATCCACTTAAAAGTTATTAAAGAGATTTAATAGTACAGCTTTTCCCCAAGGGTATTGGGAGCTATATCTTGCAGACATTTTGTATGTTGGTAGAACATTTATGTCATAACTCTAAGCAATATCTTTGAAATAGTTTTAAGACTTTAGCTTCATTCCCATCAGAGGTATAAAAATTTAATTTCATTTTCTAGGATAGAGCTTGATGCTTGTATCCTTCTGGGTAAATGGCTTTGAAAGGAAAGAAAGCAAGCTTTGGAGTTTTAAAATAGAGATACAGACACAAATATTCATACTGAACTGTTTTCTTTTTAGGGTGAGCTGTTAAATCCCTGCCGATGTGATGGGTCAGTCCGATATACACATCAGCTGTGCCTGCTAAAGTGGATCAGTGAGAGAGGTTCCTGGACCTGTGAACTCTGTTGTTATAGATACCATGTCATAGCCATTAAAATGAAACAACCGTGCCAGGTAAACAGTTATAATATTTAATTTTTCTCAAATAATTTTGTTAACATTGAGTGCACTTGAGTTTAGTTATTACTAAGGATGCTTACTTATGCTGCTTACAAACATTTTATGCAAATCAGCGTAAAAATCAAGATTTAGAATTTGTAGAGGTGTGTTTAGAGAAAGCCATGACACTTTATCTGAGAAACTCAAAAGACATTACTCACATGGTTTCCTTTATTGATTTCTTATTTATTGATCAAATTATACCCATCCTCATTTCTAAAGGGGCAAGTTGATAAAACATTTTATACTGTACTTAAATTTTATTAATTAGAAATGTTATGTAACTAATTTTAGTAATGTTTTGTTAATTTAAGCATTTAAGCCCTAATGGGGTTCTTTTATGGAAAACAGATCCAAATAAAGCAAAACTTTACTAGTGTGGAAACTTTGGTTGGATATACTTTTCACTTAGCCAGGCTTTCTTTTTCATATGATGTTTTTTCACAGTTAAATTTTGGCTACTTTCATTCTTTGTTATGTTCAACTCTGTAGTAGATGTGGAAGTATTCCCAACAATTACTCACAATAATACCACTGTATGTATTCTTAAACTTTTTGTGTATAATCACATACTAACACAATACCTATAGTTCTACAAATGCCCTGGAAAAATAGTTGGTTTTTTTTTAATGTATGCTATAACTGATTCAAGTTCTTTGAATAGGCTAGTGGAATGTAAAATACAAAATATTAGCAATGTCATCTTAAAGAAAAGCCGAATAATGTGTAATTAATGAGATTTGGTAGGCTGAAGTTAAGCAGACATAAAAGAGCAGGGTTGAAACACAGACAAAGGAGTAATAGAAAGAAAAGGAAGAGGGAATTGAAAAGTTGAGAGGGGGAAAAAAGTAATAATACCTAGTATTCCCTGAGCAATATAATATAGGTGAAATTATTAGTATTTGCAGAAGGAACATGAAAGCAAAATTGCTATTGCATTAATAATTTAAATTTCAGTTTTAAATTTTTGCATCCTTTATATAATTTGCAATTAATTTGCATCTCTAATAATTGCCATTTAAGGCATGATTAGCAAGCATGAAATGAAAATATGAATTTCTCAAGCTGACCTGAGGCTTATAAATAATTTGGAAAGAGAAAGTGTAACTAATGTGGATGAGTGATATTATCATGCTGAAGACAGACACAAACCTGACTCATTTTCCCAGAACCTCTAATTGATTGAATTACTTGGGTATCAGTTTATGGATTTATCATAATTGCCTTGAAGAATGGATGAAACTGTGTCCAAAGACAAGAATATGGGTAGCATAAATTGGATCTATAATAATTTTATGAATGGAAATATGTGGGAAGATTATAAAAAGGGAGAATTTTGGGGTTCCAGGGAAATCACATGAGAAGGACTATGGTCAGATGCTCAAGAGCTGAAACAGAGTACTAAGGATTTCAAAAGCATTAACTTATGGCTACTATATATTAATTCACTTGGGACGATTAATTTTGAAGTAAATAGAAATAGATCCTTGATGGACATTGTAAAATAGAGAAGAGACAGAACTGGGGCAAAAAAAAAATACTATATGCTAATTCTAATCCTATAGCAAAAAGAATTGATTACTACTATCTTTTGCTTCATTTAAAAAAATTCAGTAATTATTTTCACAAAAGCAATTCCTAAACTATGCATATTATATGACTCTCTTCCCTCCAGAAAAGTATCAAAACCAAATCCAGTATTACTAACACATTTAGGATTAATTTTATTATAATGTATATAGATACTACTGTGATCTGTAATCTGATCCGATTGTTGCAGTGATCTGCAAAATCATATTTAGAAACAAAGGTGAATGTGATGATGATAGCTGAGATCATGCTGGAGATGAAATAATTTTCCAGGACTACATTAGATATATATAAAGTTTGGTAGTCATAATGAACAGAAATCAGTTATAAAGTTCTCAAAGTGTGGATTCTTACACATAGGAGTAGTTTATTCGAAGACAAAGTTTAGCTATTTATCTGACATTTCTGTTATGAATGACTCACAAACTAGCATTTGCATTGATTCTTAGTTTTCTGCCTTGCTGGTGTGAGACCAATCAGCTGGGAGCAGGCGGTTTCTTGGATTAGAGCAGAATAAAGAATAAATAACAATATTAAGAGAGAACATTTACTGAACACTTAGTCTGTGCCAGGCACTATTCTAAGTATTTTGTATATATGGATACTGATATTTAATGTTCATAACAAACCTGAGGGGAGGAATATTATCTCTGTTTTATACAAAGGGAAACTGAGGCACAGGAAAGTTAAGTAACTTCTCCTAGGTACATATGTAGTAAAATGCAAAGCCAGGTTTCAAACTGAGTCAGTCTGGCTCCAGGGTCTATGGCTTTAGCCACCATGTTGGAAAATGTTCTCAAACCCATCCTAGACATCTCGATGTTTCGGATCTATCATGACTTGTCCTATATAAAGCTTAGGCAAGCAGGAACTGGTTTCAGCCTGGGTCTCTAAGGTTATTTCAAAAGGTTTTGACTATTGCTGCATAACAAACCATCTCAAAACTTAAACAACAACTGTTATTTATTATTTGTTAAAAGTCTGTGGGTCAACTGAGGTCAGCTAGGAGATCTTTCTCTACATGTGGCATCATCTGGAGCTATAAGCATCCTGAGATTAGGCTGGGTTGGAACATCCAAGATAGCTCGTTCATTCTACTTGTTCTTGGTGCTGGCTGTTGGCTAGAAACTCAGTGGGAGCTGCCAACTGGTGCCTCACTTTTCCTTTCATGTGATGTGTGCTTCTCATACTGTGATAGTTGGGTTCCAAGAGCATGAAAGCGGAAGTTACAAATCTCTTAACGCTCAGCCTTGGAAGTGACATGGTTTCACATCTGCTGCATTCTCTTGTTTAAAGCAAGTCATGGGACCAACTTGGGAATCCTCAGATTCCCAGTCATGGGAATCCTCAGATTCAAAGGAAGGGAAAATAGACTCCACCCCTGGAGTCCAGTATTTTTTTCAAAGAGAATGGCCATCTTTATCACCAAGAGAGGTAGCTTCTAAAATGTTTTGCTTACCCTGCCCTAGTCTCTGCACTTGGTCCTCATTAAATCCAGATAGATCAGCAAGCATCACCATAAATTCCCTCCCAGGGCTCTGAACCAAAGGAGGTTAAAAAAATGTATGGGAGATTAACTCACCAGTGGTGCTGGATAGATATCCTCAAGCACTGTTGGAAGTGATTATTACCATGATATATCCCCTGGTGCTCAGAGGGAAATGGGGACAGAGAAGGGCAAAAAACAGTTAGTCAGGAAGCAGGTGTATATGAAGGAACTATGCCGCAGGGAGTCTAATACTTTAGTTTTACTTGTTTTTCTCGTTGAGATTTGAATTTTTTGAGAATTGGGATCTGGACCTCCCAATTTCATTGGATTTCAGTGACGCTCAGCAACATGACTCAATAGAGAGCTAGCGGATGTATCCTCTACAACATATTTAAACCTTAATTGCTGCATCATTAGCAGTAGGAGTTAATTAAGACATCTGAGGTAATTAAAATGCATTTACCTTCCTACCTACTTGCAGAATCTATTTTATTTATTAATATAACCAAGATGGTGCATTAATGATATTTTAAGGGTAAAAGCTAGTGCTGTTTTGAATCTCATAGCATGGTCTAAAATTAGTGAAATGCAAGAGCATATATGATTAAACTTATTTTTAGATGGTGGTGACATATACTAATGAAGCTATATTCCAGTTTATGAATGTTTTCAGTATTTTTCCAAGAGACAAGGATGTCTCTTTGAAGAGGTAACATTTACAGGGATAAAGTATTGTATGGGAAACTTTAAACTTGCTATAAAGGACAGACTATACTGCCTAAACATGGAAAAATATATGTAAATAGAAGGTAATGGCTATCTTACCTTAGACAAGCTACTTAAACTCTTTGCACCTTAGTTAACTCATCTTCAAAAAGATGACAATGGCACCTGTCTTATATCTTATTTTGAGGATTAGGTACATTAATATACATGAAGTGCTTAGAATGGTGCCCTGGCCCATGGTAGGTACATTTTGATGTTGGCTGTGGTTGCGGTCACTTGCTGTCAGCTAAGAGGCCGGGCCCTTCACCTGGCCATTGTTCACACATCCTTCTTGTTCCCTTCCCTCTGTTGTCACCAAAGTGAAGTTAATGGCTCCTCTTTCCATACCATGCTTTATCACTGAATTTTTTACCCCCTGATTTTCTGGGAACCCATCTCAGTTTTCTGACCAACTTAGTTATCATCAATAATGAATGCATCAGCATTTTTAAAAAGCAGATGTAAATGAGATATAATGATCTCAGTGCAGTGAGCATATTTATCCTCCAGATGTCCCTCACCATGGGTCTTATTTGCGTTCTTATTGGAGTCTACTCATAATTGGAGTTATGAGATGCTTTTAAATGTGGCCAAGCACGGGGTGCACTGTTCAAGGTCAGGCAGCCATGGTTTGTTTACCCTTTGGAACGACCCCTGTGGGGTGGAGTCCATGTGACCTGTGAGTAGGAGGGAGGTCAGAGAAATCTCAGAGATCCCTGGAGGGCAATCACAAAGGGTAGTGGCCGAGCACCACTCACAGAGAATTGTGGTGACCACCACTTTCCTTCCTCCTCTGTTATTCAGAGCACCAGAGGCTAGGACTGGTGAGAGCTGCCTGTCTTACCTACCTGGGAAAGGACTGAGACTCGAGTGTGGTCCATATACCTTTGCAGGGATTAGGCTCCTGGCCTGTAACATTTTTATTAGCCTTTCCCTCACTGCTTTTTCTGTAAACAAATGTGATGTCAGCAACAGGTCTTCTTCTAGTGGTAAAAATGACTGAAGGGTCTCCTAGGAAGGAGAATGACTTGAGACTATTTTTTATTTTTACCCATATGCTCAGAACTCTGGGATTCATCATAATAAATTTGAATTGGGAAGTAATTTGACA